GAGTCCTCATACAGTAGAGTTAGATGCAGAGAACAATACGTAAATCGTCATCATCCTCTCATCCTTATACTGCATTTCCGAGGATCACACAAAGACAGTTGTTGTCGAACAAAAAAAAAAGAAAAGAAAGGGAGAAATAAAGGGATGGGATGGTAGAAACGCAATAATATCCCCGGTCGCCATAGCAATCGCAGTCGCCTGTGCTCGGATGCCAGTCAAACAATCGAAACGCGAAAGCTGCTGTGGAAGCCCGCGTCTTGCCAAAGGCGGATCATAGAACAGGGTATTCGTCCAAAATATAATAGATAAACGTTCAAGCTTCACTCCGAAATAGTGACATGGTACGAGCCCCTTCCCACTTCAGTTGGCCCAACTATTGAAATCTTATTTTTTTTCATATCAAACACAAATAATAAAAAAGTAGCACGGTGTTATAGGTTTAAAATATTAACAATGAATATTTTGATAATATATAGTAGAAAACACCAACTTTATCACTCCCTAATCAAATTTGCAGCATAAAAATAACACATGTTGCAATTACAGCATATCATCCTATTTTCATTTCAATGCAAAATAAGTCTATAACGCATAGGTGGCTGTGAAAAATAAAAGCCATGACAATTGTTTTTATTAATCACAGCTGTCAGAATACGTTTAAAATAGTCTTGGGTAGTTAAGGTTTTCAAAATGGGTAGAGGAAAGGTTATTAGTGAGAAAATTCGGTTACTGATAATTAAATTTTTTAATTGTGGAAATCAAACTCAGAAATTGCAACTTTGTTAGACTTATCGCTGTACAGTGTGAGAAATATCGTTAGAAGATATAACGTAACTGGTTCAGTTAATATTAAGCCACGATATGTGAAAAAAAGTAATAACACAAATGCCGACCGAAGAGCATTAAGAAGAATAATCGTTTAAAACAGGCGTGCCAATTATTTACAATTAAGTGCCTGTGGAGTGACGCTATTGGAAGGAGAATTTCGAGGTCCACAACTCATAGAGAGGTCCGCAAAGTGGGATTTAGCACTTGCAAGGTAAGTTTTCTTATAAAAAAACGTGAAGTAAAAACCCTAAAGTTGCACAGCTTGTTTATAGGCTGAAGAAAAGCCACTATTAACTCCACTCAAAATAAAAATCGGCTTAGATGGGCTAAAGAACATAGACAATGGACACCTCAACACTGATGTGCAATACAATGGAGTGATGAGGCCCGAAGTTTGTGTTGGTGACATTCGCAGTAGAGTTATTCGCAAAAAAAATGAAGCATTCCATGTTGATGGTCTGGGGCAGTATGTCATCAAAAGGAGTAGGAAAACTTCATTTTATTGATGGAAATGTGGATACAAACAAATATTTGGCAATTTTAGAAGAATCGCTTTTACCAGTGATGGAAGAATGTTTGACATCCGGCCAAGATTTTGTGTTTCAGCAAGATAGTGTAGCGTGCCATACCTCAAAAAAGGCTATAAAATGGATGGAAGAAAATAATGTACCACTTTTGAAATGGGTTTCTAGCAGTCCAGATCTGTCACCTATTGAAACTTTCTGGCACGAGATGAAAAAGGTTCTACGAAAACATCCTGCTCGTACAATCACCGAACTGAGACAAACGCTACAAGAAATATGGGACTGTTTTACACCAAATTTTTGCCAAAACTTGGTTTGGTTAACATTTTTCTATTAGTTATAGGTCTATAGGTTCCAAATATGTATTTTTTACGACTAGAGTGTATCTAAAATGTTTTTGAGAAAATAAATTGTTTTAGAAGTAAATAGTTTCGTCATGTTTAGTTTATAAAGGCATATTTTGGTACAAATCTTGAAGTGGGCCAACTGAAGTGGGAAGGGGCTCGTATATTAACAGTGCGAGCAAAAGATTCTATTGGTACCAACGAATTCGGGCTAGGTCGAATGAGCAAGTACACGATTTGTTTGTCGTTAATAGTCAGGATATAAGTTCGTACTACAAGTCGATCAGACTTAGGCCGCCAACTTGACAGATGTTGACATTTCACATTAAATCCGTACTTTTCTGCGAAAACATATAAATGCGTGTAGGTTCCACACAATCCTAGTGTTCCAGACAGTTACCGACAATGGTGGTTTCTGGGATTACAAAAAGCAGTTTGATGGGAATAAGAGCAAACCTTTGTATCGACAAATGTTATATACAGAGCGTCCCGAAACTGAATAATGGTCCTGCAAATATAGATAGGTCACGTCATGGTCTACTATATCTATGGGTAAAATTTTGTTCTACGAGTACGCAGATATGCATTTCATTTACGGGGAATGCCAATGCATCGCTACAAAAGCTGCTCATTACATTAATATCTTAAATGTGAATTATCCTTCAACATCAATCCTGTCCATGTATTGTATCCAAGCCATAAACTGTTATTTTCTGATTCTACGAAAACTGACCCTCCTCCATTATAACTGCAATAAAACGAAAAAAAACACAAAGGGTGAATAACAATGATACCGTTCAAAAGATCGCCAACTTTTTTTACTAATTGGCACAGTGATCGTACTTGATACTCTCACTCTATAGAATATCAAAGTCAGGCGTAAGAAAGGGTTTTAATGAAAATTTCGTCTTTGGTATGACTTTTATGTGGGTTTTTCATCACCTCCAGGAAAAAGAATACTGGACGAAATATGATGTTCAATTCTGACAGTTTTAAAACAAACCTGGTCCAAAAAAGTTGAAATTTGTAGCAATGGCATAGGATTAACTCAATATAAGCTAGTCTTTCAGAAAAAACAAAATTGAATGCTGAAAATTTCGAAAACTATGACTTTTATTAACACAAAATTGTACCATCTAGTAGGCCATGGCGTGACCTATATACAGTTGAAGGATTATCCTTCAATTTTGCGACAACCTGTATAATAGCCATCAGCGTTGTGAAAGGGCACCTCAACATTGAGCTCTTTACTGGACAATTGTGAGGCAATTTTGACTTGTTTCATTGCACGTTTTGTTTCGTTGAGCACCCAATTTCAGATTTGTTAACATAATTGTATAAGAAGTTGTATAACAACATAAAAATTCAAAATTTTTGAGACAAAAACCAAATCTTTTGATGGATACTGAAAACGGCTAACCGAAACCTTAATCTAACTGAACTAAACTAAGATTCGACTCTATCTACATTGATTTTGAACCTAAAAGTTCTTAGGAAAGGTGCTTTCGGGCTAGAAGTAGCAAATCTTTTTATTGGATACATATTATGTTTATCTGACGAAATTTCAACATAATCAACAATAATTCTTATTTTTATCCGACGTTAAATTTCTTATTTGGGAATCTATTGTTCGCACTGCATTTATTTAACATAAATTAAAGCGATTAGCTCTCCCAACCTGAAAATGTGAAACAATAAGGGTGTTTTGAGAAAAGGTAAATTTTGTATTTTTGAGTACCCTGTACCGATTGTCAACCTTACAAACAAATAGAAAATTGTTTAGAACGAACAATGTTTACCTACTAGGATTATTATTTAAGAAATTAGATGTATTAATACGTTTAACAAGTTTCAAATGATGATTTCTTGTAAATCCATTCCATTACCAAGTACAAAGTGTTGAAGTTAATAATAAATTTCAAAACAGATGAAAAGAGTATATCTCTGGTGAGGAAAGCGATGTTCAAGCTGCACCAGTGGCGTAGAAAGTGTGACATTTTGACTCCTATAGTACAAACGTAAATCCACCAACTTTTTTGAAGCATCTACTGCATTTTTAATACATCACATATCTCACTTGAGATCCTCCCTTTTTGAGAAAAATTGGTTGTTTAAAGTGAAATTCGTATAGAAAGGTCAAGTTAGTGAAGTTTCACGTTAGGAATTTTTTATTTTATTTATTTATTTTTATTCTATTCATTACAACACCCTACAGTGAATACCAATTACAGAGTGAGGAAACACAGAACATAAAATAGATATAAAAGACAATAATAAGTAATAGACTACAAAATGTAAAAGATACATGATGGTTACTTACTGGTATTTTTTATGTCTGCAATTCTGCAGTTAAATATATCAATCCGGTTACTTGCAGAATTGCAATTTCTATACATCACATGCAAAGGGGATAATCTAAATATTTTGTCCGTGCCGCAGGTAGATAAAACGTAACGTTTTGTCGGGATGTCAGCCTAGGTACGTTAAATGATAACTGACCCAAGAAAGTTAAATCATCACTAGCATTATTGATCAATTTAAACAGAAAAATCACTGACTGGCAAGTGCGCCTTGGTTCAAGACTGCTGATTAGATGATTTTCAAGTAAGGAATCATGAGGTATACCTATGGGCGGGTAAACACCATCCACTTCCAGTGACAAATATTTTAAGAAACGTCTTTGAACACATTCAAGCCTACTTATATGAATAATACGATGCGGATTCCAAATTAGCAATGCATACTCAAGCTTCGACCTAACATATGCATAATACAACAACTTCAAGGTGGTACTCTGAGTGAAGTCACGGCAGTTTCTTACAATAAAGCGGTACATGCGGTTTGCCTCGGAAATTTTGCTGTCAATGTGTTTGACGAATGTGACGCCTAAGTCATATGAAGTTGAAGTCCTCTGAATAGAGGTACCTGACAGGGTATATTCAAAAAACAGAGGATTTTTCTTCAAAGTGTAAGATATTACGTAACATTTATTGATGTTTAATGGTAGACTGTTTTGTGAGCACCAAGCATCCAACCTAACCAGATTTTCTATTGATATAGATCTAAAATTTGATACATCATTCCTACTGCCGTTTTTGTGTATTAGACATACTTTAGACTTCCATAATTCTGGAATTGATATACAGAAGGGTCTTTTTTAGTAGGAAAGTGCTTAACAATTTTAAATTCAAAATCATCTTCGAAGATATCTGTATTTCCTTTTAATAAAAAGTGCCGTAATTTATCATCTGAATATTTATCATGCCCACTAGCCGAAACCGCGGGTTAACACCGGTAATTTCACGTATCACATAACTATCTGACAACTTTTCCTGAACAATAGCTTTCAACTTCTGATTTCCCGCCTTTGACTTACACCCAATAAGAATACCACCATCCCTAACATCCTTCTCTTTCGCTAACTGAACTTCCGCAGTACAAGGATTCTCGGGCTGTATTAGATCAGCTTTGGTATGCTTGCTTTGATGCATTTTTTTTGCTGAATAATTAATGCTGGCTGGGTATTATTTCTAACGACTTCGGCATAGGATACTACAGGCTTGTTCGCAGAAGGTACTGCATAAGACTATTTCATAGATCTTGATATACCTATCAGCAGATAATTTCGTGGCTTGATTCTTGAAAGAAGCCATGACCTCGTCAATTTTGCCACTCAGTAGATTCTTAACATCATCCCGGTGTATTGCAATGCAGCTAGGAATGCAGTTCTTACATCTCCAAAACAACCCAGGAACAGTACTTATGACGCCCAGTATATCTGTGTTTGAGGTACACAAAGAATGAAACTGCTTTTCACATGCGTCGCAAGAAATAGGCAGCCTTGACCGAGTTACCAATGTTTGACAAATTTCACAGTTGACCATGATGCAAATTAATAGAAACTGATAGACTTACAAATGATATCTGGAGTCACCTCAATCAAATGTTATCTATGAACATCTCTTGCATCACTTACGAAAAAGACTGGTAATTAATGACAAGTATTTATCACACAAACTAAGAAATTCGAGATATAGTACCTATACAACACCAACCGGCTGATGGATAGCCTAGTTCACGTATATCTGTATAATTCTGAAAGTATTATACAGATAAGTATTATTATGTAGTATATTAGAGCATTCGTGTTTTGCCCTTAACTGGTCTCGTCAATGGCATGAAAATGTATAATATGTCCTGATAACGGTAAATTCCTGGGTTTATATTTATATGAAAATTTTTGTTAGAGTATTCAAGTAAACATAAAAAGGGATATTCGCATTCTTGGAATGGAGTTTAAGATGGTGAAAGCGATATCCTAATAAAGCATGTTCTCAGTTTACATTCCCTTAAAGCATATTCTCCTGACGAACGTTCTAAGAATATGCGATTTAAGAACATTTGAAATGGAAATGTTCAGAACATATTCACATTAGGGATATCCATTTGCTCACATGCTAAGAATATTCATCTTTAAATCATGCTGATACACAATGTTGTCACGTGACAGTAACATTTCACCAAGTAATAAAAAAGCTGTTCCTGGCACGTATTCCATCAGAATCCATCAGGTGAATTTTGTGCGTGTGCGTGTGCCCGAGCGACCAATGGCATAATGGCAAGCCGACGCTTACCAGCTTCCATTTTGTTTTATTCCATATCTCTGCATAACTAACAGAGCGCGAATCGTGTGTGTCCCCAATTAGTATTATTCTTTGACAGTGTTTTTTCTTTTTTGAAAAAGTTGAGTTTGGTGCTAATTATTCGCCTCAATTCACTGTACTAATGAACATTTTTGTGTCAAATGAGTAGATGTTTTCAAGGTCATAACCTCCATTTGCGATTGAAAAACCGGCCTTAGCTTGAGAGTTTGTAATATATTCTTAGCACATTCTATTGGTGAGCGGTATGTAAGAAATAAACTTCAATATTATCATGATACATTCACTTTTACCGATGGAATCAAAATTTTAAACATAATGATCCAAATTAACCATAACAAAATTGAGGTTTCTGCAATTTATCGTCCGCCATGTTCAGAACCGCACGAGTTTTTAAAAAATATCGATTTTTTTTTTCAAAATCAAAATAACGTTCATTTAGAGCAACATATTTTCTTGGGAGATGTCAATATAAATATTTTGGACGATGATCCCATGACAAATGAATACTTGAATATCCTATCAAGTAACGGATTTCTGTCCTAGATAAACTTACCTACAAGGTCCATCAGTGGCACATGTATAGATCACTGCTTTGTGAAAGACCTATCCAACCAAAGTACTTGTATACCAATAATCCTAGAAAGCCATATTACTGACCACTTCTCCACTATTTTACTGATATCTTCAAATGAAAAACATTCTAACATCCCTACCGTTAATAACAACCAGGAAAATTACAAATTTTTTGTCGACAATTTAAAACTAATATCAAATGTCAAACAAGAATCCTGGGAACAATTATACTCTATAAATAATATTAGACAAAGCAACGGGACTGTTCATAAAGAAAATAAAAAAACTAATAGATATTAGTACCAATATAGTAATCATTAGTCACAAAGAGAAAAGCAAAAATGCCTGGATTACCAAAGGATTAATAACATCGGCAATAGAAAAATAAAGACTGTATATTGTAATGAAAGTAACGCCAACTACAGAGAATATCGACTGCTACCACCAATATAAAAATAAATTTATAGAGCTTGCAAGGCAAACCAAACGAAAACATTACCTAAATAAATTGAATAATAACTTAAATGATCCTAAGCGGCTTTGGACAACTATTGATGAGATTACTGGCAAAACGAAATTTAAAGAGTGTGTCACTGAGTTAAATACAACATCGGGAACAGTATTAAAAAATACTCAACAGATATGCGATGAATTTGTACAATTTTTTACTGCCAGGCGAAAATTTAGCAATTAATATACGTATACAAGCAGATGTACCCAATACTCAGCCTCCAAAAAGATCTTTGAACTCATTTATTTTGGATAAAGTCGAGCAATGTGAAGTATACACCACTGTTATGTCCTTAAAAAATCGAAAAGTCCTGGGTTCGATGGTATTAAAAACGAGCATTTGAAAATTATAGCCGAAGACATAACAGAACCACTCACTTACCTAATCAACAAATGCTTTGAATCTGGCATGTATCCCTCAATTTTAAAAAAAGGTAATATAATACCGATACATAAATCAGGAACAAAAACAGATGTTAACAACTAGAAACCAATATCAATAATATCCAGTGTAGAAAGGTTTTTGAAAAAGTTTTATCTACTAGAATGATTCGATACCTCACAAAATTCAAAATTTTAAGTGAAAATCAATATGGATTTACAGAAGAGAAAGTTACATCGGACGCAATAACTAAAATTGTAAATCAAATACATCAAAATATTGATAACAGAATCCCTTCAATCTGCATTTTTTTTGATTTAAAGAAAACTTTCGACACAGTTAATCACAAATTATTATTAGAAGCATTGGAGAGATTTGGTTTCAGAGGAAACGCGTACTCACTGATCGAAAATTATTTGTCAAATCGCCCACAATCTGTGCAGATATCAGGATCGTTTAGTAAAGAAATGTATATTAAGTGTGGTGTCCCACAAGGAACTGTCTTAGGTCCGCTATTATTCAATGTATATTTAAATGATATTTACCAAATTAATTGTGTCGGCAAAATAACCAGTTTTGCAGATGATACTGCAATATTGTATGGTCTGATCTGAAAAATGTAATTGAAAATGATTTTATCAAAATTATTCGGTGGTTTAACAGCAGAAAATTAAGCATTAACTATTCTGAAACACATTTTTTACCATTTGGATCTTATGCTAGACATCTGCCAAATTACACAAATTTTTCCTTCAACATTAATGATCAAAAAATGCAAATTAATGCCCAACATAAAATACCTTGGAGTGGTCTTGGATTCTCACTTACGATGGGACATCCATGTCAATTATATTTTAAATAAAGTTAGTATCCTACAAAATTAAATACCTTGGGAATATATTGACAGAAAATATCTTCGAACATTATACCATGCACTGATTGAGCCTCATGTCACATATGGTATATTAGCATGGGAAGCTGCATGTTCCTCACATATCTATAATTTAGATGTTTTTCAAAAAAGTATTCTAAAAATGATATTTAAAAAACCGAAAGTTTATCCCACTGATAAATTATACGCAGATGTTCGGACGTATGATATAAAACAGCTTTATTTCTTACACAGTATCACTCACTACCATAAATTTGTAAACACCGACCAAAAAATTAAACATAATCATTATACAAGGTACAAAATTCGTGGCACAGTAGTTCCTCAGCCGCATAAATCTATAATACAGCGGTCATATCTCTATTTAGCGCCAAAATTTTATGAAATTATACCTAAAGACTTAAAAGATTTACGTTTCGGAAATTGTTTCAAAAGAAATTTAAAAAAGTGGCTACATTCTATATCTAGGACTGAAATTCATAAACTCATAAATACGAACATCAAGTAAATACATAATCTACTGTAGCTAATTTTGTCCTTTTTTGTCATTTGCATTCTACAGTTGCAACTTAAAATTATTGGTCCATGTACAGGTGATGCCTTCTATTGGGCCTGTTTTGATTTTATATTTATTTACTCATATTGTTTGTTATCTTTGTACATTGATTGAATAAATGTTATTATTATTATGTTATTTACGCACATCATCAGAACGTGATCGTGGTATTAGAGTTCATACTTAGAAAACGCATAGCAAGTGATCTTGGTAATCAATGTTTTTTAACAAAATAGGATACTGTTGATCAAAGCTGCGCCCATGCGTCTGATTGGTGCCATCTGGAAAAAGATAGACGTGAACATCATCAGCCTCAGCGCAGCATAGAGCAGTGGAGTGCTATCTGCTCTTCAACTGTATTGTTCTCTCTCCGTGACTCTCTGTCTTTCGGCAGAAAGGCACACACAAAGCATCATTTGGATCAGAGTGGGCCGCGCTCTCCACGACAGCGCGATCCTTGGTTGTCGTCCACTTGTGACGCCGATTCAACAGTGCCCTGGATTCTGGATTGCCGTCGTTACAGCTAAATGAAGAGCTGTATGTAAACCTGATCTTGACAGGATATCGAAGAACGGAAAGATTTGTAGGTATAAGTACAATCCCTGGCAAAACTTCTAATTTTGGAATGCACGCCAGTGACTTGAGTAAAGGATCCCGCATGAATCCTAAATGGTAAAATGATCGCCTCAAATTTGAAAAGTAATTTAATAATGAACATTGTGACCCACTGAATACCAGAAATAAAGGTTACTAAACTTCATTTACATTTATATCAATGATTTATCAATTTCAGTACCCTACATAGTAGCCTAAGCAACAAAAGTAAGTATTCCCGATTTAAAAACTGTACCTTCTATCTTCAAACCATCGACAAGTCAATCTAGGCGAAACAAGAGGTATGTTTACAGAAGGGC